TTTAATAAACCATGAAACCTAGACAGTACTGAAAAAGTAATGAGTCATCTTTTGCTGAAGTTCCAAATTCCAGATGCTAATAATTTATAGTTTCACTTGCAGTGGAAATTATCATTATCTATCATGGAGAGAGAACTCTTTCAAATCAGCAAGACAGCCCAAGTGATATGAACAGAAAATGTAAAGAAGGAATGAATACAGGTAGCCAATTAACTTACAAAAAATATTAAGTTTAATCTCAATTCAGTTCAGTTGCTCAGTTGTGTCCAACTCTTTGAAGCTCCATGGACTGCAGCACACCAGGCCTCCCTGTCCATCGCCAACTCCCAGAGTTTACTCAAAATCATGTCCATTGAGTCAGTGGTGCCATCCAACCATCTCATCCTCTGTCATCCCCTTCTCCTCCTGCCTTCAATCTTTCCCAGCATCAGGGTCTTTTCAAATGAGTCAGTTCTTCACATCAGTAGCCAAAGTATTGGAGTTTCAGCTTCAGCATCAGTCCTTCCAATGAATATTCAGGACTGATTTCCTTTAGGATGGACTGGTTGGATCTCCTTGCTGTCCATGGAACCCTCAAGAGTCTTCTCCAACACCACAGTTCAAAAGCATCAATTCTTCTGCGCTCAGCTTTCTTTATGGCCCAACTGTCACATCCATACATGACTACTGGATAAACCATAGCCTCGACTAGACAGACCTTTGTTGGCAAAGTAATGTCTCTGCTTTTAAATATGCTGTCTAGGTTGGTCATAACTTTCCTTCCAAGAAGTGTCTTTTAATTTCATGGCTGTGGTAACCATCTGCAGTGATTTTGGAGCCCAAGAAAAGTAAGCCTGTCACTGTTTACCCATCGATTTGCCATGAAGTGATGGGAACAGATGCCTTGATCTTAGTTTTTTGAAGGTTGAGTTTTAAGCCAACTTTTTCACTTTCCTCTTGCACTTTCATCAACAGGCTCTTTAGTTCTTCTTCACTTTCTGCCATAAGGGTAGTGTCATCTGCATATCTGAGGTTACTGATATTTCTCCTGGCAATCTTGATTCCAGCTTGTGCTTCATCCAGCCCAGCGTTTCTCATGATGTACTCTGCATTTAAGTTAAATAAGCAGGGTGACAACATACAGCCTTGACATACTCCTTTTCCTATTTGGAACCAGTCTGTTGTTCCATGTCTAGTTCTAACTATTACTTCTTGACCTGCATACAGGTTTCTCAAGAGGCAGGTCAGATGGTCTGGAATTCCCATCTCTTTAAGAATTTTCCAGAGTTTGTTGTGGTCCACACAGTCAAAGGCTTTGGCATAGTCAATAAAGCAAAAGTTGATATTTTTCTGGAACTCTGTGCTTTTTCAATGATCCAAATTTAATCTCAGTAGTAATAAAAGAGAGGGGAAAAGAACTTCAGTGAAAGATTCTATTTTCCCCCATCAAATAAGCAAAAATTAAATATTGATAATGAAAAGTTCTGGCAAAAGTATATGGAAATGGATTCTCTCATTCAGAGTTGGTGGAAGTAAATTAGCATAGACTGTGACTTCCCTGGTAGTCCATGGTAAAGACTCTGCCTTCCAATTTAGGGGACGCAGGTTCAAACCCTGGCTGGGGAACTAAGATCCCTCGTGCTGTGGGGCAACAAAGCCCATCCTCCACAACAAGAAAACCTGCACACCACAGCAAAGACCCAACACCCGCCCCCCCCCCCGCAAAAAATTAGCATAGCCTTTCCGGAGGCCAGTTTGGCAATATTCATTAAAGTACAAAATATGAATACATGTACTTTGTCCCAGTTTTCTGTATTAAAGTATCTGTCCTATACAAATACTAGCATATGGTAAAGAAAGGGAAGAATTACGATGTCAATTCCTTGCTGGGGAATACTATGCATCCATTAAAAAGCATGAAATAAATCAGAATGTATTAATATGAAAGTATCTCTAACCATGATAACGTGGCAAAGAAAGTTGTATAACATATATAATTACTTTTTAATGCCATACATCTATTGAAATTGTCCAATGTGTAAGACTTCATCCTTGGTACTGGACTTACAGAACTGAAGAAAACAGATAAATTCCTGACCTTACAGACTTTACATATCCAATTTGGAGATGAGTGATTAGAGTAGGGTTGGGGCAAGCAAATAATAAACTAGTTAGCAAATACACAATTTCCAACACTGGTAAGTTCTATGAAGGCAATACATAGGGACTGTAGTGGGAAAGAGGCCCAATGTCAAGTCAGTGCTCTCAGTAAATAAGAGCAGTTTTGATCTGAATACATGTTCTGAAACTGAAAACCGCTCCAGTCTCCTGTCTTTTATGATATGCCAGCCAGAGAAGATATAGTATGATCGAAATTCTGCAGAGCTTTTGTGAGCTGACAGAAAGCACCAAACTGCAGGTCCAACATCCAGGTTTTCCATTCTTGTTTATCTGCATTAGCAGAGTTAGATCTAGGCTCTGAAAATGAGGGAAAAGGGGGTATACTGGCATTGCAAGCTCATAGGCATGTTTCAGGAATACATGAGTAGTTATGTTCCTTTGAAAAAGTTATAGAATGTATTGCCTTATGTAAGTAGAATTAGCACAGGCAGTAAGAGTAAACGAAGTGACTGTGGACTGGAGTCCATGTAAGCCTTCGTGTGTAAGAGGTGAATATATGAAGGGGGTGGGGGGGACTTTAAGCCAGAACATCACGCCACCTTGAGTTCTCCCCTGCTCCCATGAATGAAAGCTTTGGGCTCTCTAGTCCTGACCACAGGACAAGGGCTACAGTGGTCCCACGCCAAGCAGAGCCCATAAAGCAGAGAATTTGTGTGACTCTTCTGGGTCTCCAATTTGCTGCTCAAACATACTCCATTCTCCACAGCATTTCAGCACCAAAGGAGCAGGACAGGAGCCGTGCGTGCTTTCAGATGGGCCTCTCCTTTAGAGCTTTGGGCTGCTTGGGGGGGACACACCCTGTTTTGTCTCTCGCTCAAGTCTTAGCCACCACTGCTCAGACTCATATCCCAAGGCTGAATGCTCAGAGGTGGGTGCCACATGGACTGCACTTGAGCATTCTACCAGGAGATGAGGGCAAATGCTAAGAAGTCAATGCCTTACAACTGGGAAATGGTAATATGCTAAATTATGTACTTAATTAATCTCTATCAACAGAAATACCATAAGACTGGAAAAGCGATTCCATCACCCAGGATCAGTGTGCATAAAGTATACAGAAAAGGATCAAAAATTTCACCAGTAAACTTGTGTTTGTGCTTTGGCTGAATATGCAGAGGTCCATTTCTACTGTAGGCTGATGAATGGTACACAGTTAATTACCAGTTAATTGCTTGTCTCTTTCTCCTTGTGTTGCTACCTAATGGGTTAGAAATGACAGGGATAGAATTTTTGCTAGACCCCTTCAAATCAGGAACCCAAGGGAAAAGATTCCCATTAGATTTTACCATAACAGTCTGCTTTTTCTTAAGTGTTTTTTTTTTTTTTTTAACATGCACAAACAATTATATGATGATTGAGGAAACTGAGCTAAGAGGTAACCAGGTGGTGCTGCTATCTCATGAACATTCAATGATACAGGCCGTAATGATTTCTTGACAACTAGAGCTGTAGAGCTGTAGTTACATATTACAAATAAAACTCGTTGAAAGAGTGAAACAATATAGCTATCCACTTTTTACCAGATTAGATCATATTATACAACAGCTTTGTAATTATTTGTAAATCTCCAGCACTTTAAGCTCCATGAGGCAAAGACTATGTCTTTCTCTCACTTCTATATCTCTAGCATCAAGCCCAGTACCTGATACTTAGTGGACACTCAGGAAACATTTGCAAGTGAATGAATGAATAAGTGAACAACTGAAAAGGCCAGGTTTCGAATCCTGTTCTTGAACCTCACAGGCCCTTCCCATAACAAGATATCTCCTTGCAGATACCTAGATGTTCAAGGCAGAATAAAAGACATTAACAGAGGACACCTGGGCCACAGACTATACCTCCCATGTAATTTCATATGAATTTATGGCTTAACCAATTTGGAGATTTGTTTCCAGAAAGCATTTGATTTACTCCCTTAAGATCAGTCACAGTAAGTACAAGTCTTAGTGCACTGGCAATGCACTGCTATGGACAGCTACCCAGCGCGTGGTGCATCAGTTGAGACACTGATGGTCTCAACGGAGTATGGCTGGATCCTGAGACTGGGCTCCTTCCTCTCAGAAGGATACACTGGAAGAGGTTGGAGAGCCAACAAAACGGAAGGCAGGTCCTTAATCTCTGCTGCTTCCCTCAGGCCCACAGAGCTGGTGTCAGAATCAGAGCGAACACCAGGAGCTCCTGTTCCTCCTGCTGGGTGTCACCTGCCTCTGTCCCTGCATCTGAGGACCAAAGGGCAGCACGACTTCGCAGGCTAACTCCCCTTCTCCCGAGCTAATCTGATTTCACTCCCCGATACTCCATCAAAAGCAGGGCCCTTATTTCAGGTTGCATTGACCTCAAGATACCTGTCCCAGAATGTTGTGAAAATATGCTACTCATACACACACACAAATCACTTTAGTATTCAGAAAGTTTTTAGGGGCTTCCCTGGTGATCCAGCTGTTGAAAATCCTCCTGCCAATGCAAGGGACACAGGTTTAATCCCTGCTCCAGGAAGATTCCACATGCCACAGAGCAGCTAAGCCTGTGCACCACAACTTCTGAAGCCAGCGAGCCTAGAGCCCATGCTCAACAAACTGAAGCCACCACAATGAGAAGCCTGCGCACTGCAACGAAGACTAGACCCTGCCCACCACAACTAGAGAACACCCATGTGTAGCAACAGAGACCCAGCACAGCCAAAATATATAATAATAATAAAATAAATGTTAATAAAAGTTTTTAGGGTTAATGGAGCATTCAGCTCAAAGCATAGCCAAAGTCTGCAATGATACCTTGGGTATAGAATTTGCATTTATGATTTCTTATCTCTTTCTCTTTACCAACACCCACTCCCTTAGGAAAGGAGCCTGGAGGAGGAACCAAGAGTCTGGATTGCAAAATTGAGGAGTGTGCTGAAACACCTGCTCTTGAGGACTCCTCATCATCCCCTGTAGATATTCAGCAACATTCCTGGCAGGTTTCCACAGACATTGAGAACACTGAAAGGTAAGTGGGAAGTTACCCTAAATAGATTGCCAGTCCTCCTCCAATTAATACCTAGGCGCTACAGAGAGTTGAGATTATTTTTCTTTCAGATTCAGAAAACAGAGCTCTCAGTAAACCGAGATGAGAGACAGTAAGAGGTCCAAATCTATCTACAGAATGGCAGCAGAACTGCCAGGAGACGTGGGCTCCCAGCCTCTGCTCATCCCACTCCATCAGCCTTGCGTCTCCATGGAGATGAAAACCGAGTGCTTCCTTGGGAAGCAAGAAAGTCGAATCTATATACCCATCACTGCTCACTCAACGGTCTGGGTCCCAAAGTTTCCATGTTTAAGGGAGAATAATTCAAAATCGTGCAAAGTTACGTCCAGGAGATCTTCAGATTTCAGGTGTATGGGATGGCCTACTTAGTGGCCAGTCGGGAGCTGAGGCATCTATCTAGTTCACAGACAGCTTTCTGAAGAGCTGTCTTCTCTACCTCTCCTGGGATTTAGCTGATGGGCCCTTAGTGGTCAAAGCGTGTTAATGCATTTGTCTTTACAAGCAGTAGTTCAAGGCCAGAGACAGTTTCTTTCTTGGGAAGAGATTCTACAGTGATTCTATTTCACTTGGGAAAAGGAAGCAATAATAATATAATCATAATCACATCTTGATGCTAAAAATTCCATTCTTTGAGGCAGAAGCATAAGCCCCTTGTTTATTGGCCTTCACACTGCTTTCTTGTCCTTTGCTACTGATGTCCCCAGAGCCAACATGGAGCAGCTGAATGAACGCTAGGCAATTCCACCGAGAGGTCTGTGTGTGTGGGGTTGAGTCATTGACAAGATAATGAACATTTTATTTTTTTATTTTTAGAAATGTAACACACAGTGGCATTTATAGCCATTGTGGTTTTACTTTCAGATTGTAATATAATTCTAAAGCTAATTACCAAATTTCTGTGTTTATAGAAAATTGAAGCATGTGGTAATTATGTGCTATTAATAAAACTTGGACTTTGTATAAGCTTGGAAATCCAACAATTCAGACAATAAAGCTGGTTGGCATGATTTGATAGAACTATAGACAAATGATGAGGGAGTGATTTCTCTTAATTTATAAAGTAGAAAATGCTTTGCTCTATTCCCAGGAAGAAAAACCTGCCAGAGTGCCATGGTCAGGGTATAGTCCATCAGCAAAGCCATTTTCCTTTTCAGAAATCTTGAGCAGAAGCACTAATCAAGCCTTGTAAGCTTGTCAGAGAGCAAGCTATGGCGGATAATAATAATAGGAGAGTCTACCCCTCAGCATTGGCAGTACTTCATTGCAGCCTCAAAGTCCAGATTTTAGTCAAAGGAGATGTGAGTGAGTGGGGAGTAGGCACAGTGGACCTGTTATGGGAGAGGGCTTCCTTGCTTCTCCCTATCACTTTGCCCTAAGAGATCTGTGGATTTCAAACTGGGCTGCACTTTAAAATTACCAGGAGGGCTTTTTAAAAATATTCCAAGTCAATTTAATGTGTTGACCCTTGGAAATGCTTAACACCTGTTTACTCTGAATTTCAATCTGAGTAATGAGAGACGACGGGGAGTGAACGCACGCAGCCAGGACAGCACTGGGATCAGAAGGGACAGGATCACCCAGCCCCAGCCTCGCCCAGGGTACCTCTGGTGTCCTAGCGGCGCGTCCTTCACCTGCCCTTGGAAACGGAAGTATTGTCCTCATCACCAGAGGCTCGTTTCTCATCTCAGCCAGCTCCAACTGAAGGCAGAGATGGAGGGCTCCTACCAGCAGAATGCCCTGTGGAAGTGTTTGTGAGAGTAGTTCTCATTCCTTCAGAGCCAACCCAACTCAGCTTTTCTTGTTTTTTCTCATAAAAGCAAAATAAATGCAATTATTTGCCTATTGGAGGCTCAAACTGCTACACTTAGTCACAGACTTTGTCCTTCAGTTATGTCATAGAACAGACGGTTGGAGATTGCATTTCACAAATTTACAGCTGATTATTTTTTCTTTTTATCAATTTTACAGAGACATGCGAGAAATGAAAAACCTTTTAAGCAAACTCAGGGAAACTATGCCTTTACCATTGAAAAATCAAGGTGAGTCTTGTCATTTCTTTTTGAGGCAGAGGGTGTTTTTCCCACGATAACCTTGGGTCTTGTTTCTTGAGAAATGAAAGCAAGTGTTTTTTACACAAGCAGGAGAAGGCACTGAGTGTACATTTGTCTTTCCTTGAGAAGATAAGAGGATGAGAATAGATTATCAGGTGAAAGCAGTTTTGTTCTGAGGGGAGCTGAAAAACACTCTGATAACAGACACCTCCTGCTCTGGCCCCATCAGTGGAGAGCGCTACACCGTGCGTGGCAAGCACAAAAGGGCTGAAGGCTCGGCTCTTGTCCTTAGAAAGTTTACAGCCGGCTTCCCCACTGGCTCAGTGGTAAAGAATTCGCCTGCCAATGCAGGAGACACGGGTTCTATCCCTGCTCAGGGAGGATCCCACTTGCTGCAGAGCAACTAAGCCTGCGCGTCACAACTACAGAGCCTGGATTCTAGAACCCGAGAGCGGCAACTCCTGAGCCCACGCGCCCGCGAGCCTTTGCTCGACAGCAGAAGAAGCCATGACAATGAGAAAAGCCTGTGTACCACAAGGAAAAGCAGCCCCCCGCTTGCCACGACCAGAGAAAAGCCCGCGCAGCAACAACAAAGCCCCAGTCAAAATTTAAAAAATTTTAAAGTTTATCGTGGAAGAGACTTAGGAACACTTCCAAAGGAAATGCTCTGCCATCCATGTGTTATCTAAACAAACTAACAATAGTAATTAACATATCTTGCCACTGTGATTTTTTTTATCCAGTTCCAATGGTGTGGGGGCGTTTTCCACATCACTAAGCAATTATCAGACACTAGCTGGGTGTCCTGCAGCTCGACTGATTTCTGACACTTAGTGGAGATGGCATCAGATACCACAGATGAAGGGTTCAGTAGTCCTAAAAAACTATCTTCCCCCCCAAACCTTAGACCCCAGTCTCAAGCCCAAGCTGTCACCTGAGCTTCTGTACATCTAGCTAGAGATCGGAGGGTCCAATGAGCCCCACCATAGGTTCAGTTAGTTCACTAGAGCAGCTCATAGAACTCAGAGGGATATTTTGCCTACCAGTTCACTGACTTATTACAGGATATTAACTCAGGAGCAGCCAGATGGCAGAAGTGTGGGGAAAGGGTGCAGAAATTCCATGCCCCTTTCAGGAGCGCCATCTTCCCCAGTCTCAGAAGCTCTCCAAACCCTTTCCTTTTTGGTTTTTCTGGCAACTTCCTAAACACAGGCATGATTGATTAAATCATTGGCCATTGGCAATTGAGTCAACCTCCAACCCCTCTCCCCTCCCTGAAAGTCAGAAGTGGGATTGAAAGTTCTAACCCTCCAATCACAGAGTTGGTTCTCATAGCAGCCAGGTGTTTTCCTGGCTCAGGAAAACACCATCCTCAGGTGTTTTCCCAAAATCACATTATTAACCTAACAAAAGACATCTTTATGGCTCTTTAAGGACATTCCAAGAGTTTTAGTAGCTCTGTGCCAGGAATAGGTCGAAGATCAAATATATATAAATTTCAGTGTCACAGCCACTAGTCTAAATACCTTAGATGTATTAACTGTATTAACTTCTTTAATTCTAATAACACGTTTGAGGGAAATGCTATACAGGAAACTGAGACACAGGCTAGCTAACTTGGACAAGGCCAAATTATAAGTAGGAAGTCTGGGATGTGATCCCAGGCAGTGTGTCTCCAGAACTATCCCGTGGGAGTATACACTCTAACACTGGGAAGGAAAGGGGATATTCACTAGGATGTAAGTTCTGTGAGGGAGGGGTCCCTGTATGCTTCCATTAACTGTTTTGTCTTCAGTACCTAGAGAAACGCTTGGAACACAGTAGAGTAACAGCCGGCATAAACAGTAAATGTTTGTTCAACCTGCACCCAACTTTGCAGCCCCAGAGTCTGAAGATACGTCCAAAGGGCTAGTAATAATCACTTTCACTAAGCACATATGGCCAAGAGCTATCTCAGGTGAAGCATCCGCTTCAGAGAGTGGTACACCCAAGGTGGGGATAGGGTTTGTAGAAGAAGGAAAGACCCCCCTGCTGTTTTGGCTGAGCACAGCCTCAGCAGGAGGGAGGGCAGGCTGCCTCTGAGCGAGGGGGGAGAGGACCTGGCGGCGGAGCTGGAGCGCAGCTTGGCTCAGGGAGCCGCGTGGCAGAAGGTGGAGAGGTGGAGGTGAGAACACAGACAGCAGACTGCGGTGTGACCCGAGCTGCAAGGGAGGGAGGCGGGGTTAGAAAATAAGAGGCAGGAGATGCGGTGCTGCAGGTAGCTGCAAGTACCCCCTGAAGGGCCTGTTGACCAAGGCTCACTGCCTTGGGCTGTGGGTTATGTTTGAGAGGCCGTGTAAGGTTTTAAAAAAGCAGCGTTTTACTCCAACACATGGTGGTAACGAGAGCCCTGTGGACACAGCATGCAAGTTTGCTGCTAGATGTAAGCATGGTTACAGCTAGCCTTCGGTTACCATGCTGGCTCTGCCATTTTCCTGGAAGAAGTTGTTTCACTTCTGAACATGTACATTTCCTCATCCCTGAAAAAGAGATCAGGTGACCTACTTCAGAGAGTTGTTGTGAAGATTCAGTGAGAAAACGCATATCACATGCCTGCTACTAACCTTACAGAGAAGAAGCGCTCAACAAGTGCAGTATATTGTTATTATTATTATTTACCAGTTGCCTCACCAACCTAGCTCAGGAAAACTCCAAATCATCATCAAATAGAATAATCCCTGCTTGCATTCACTCTGAAGCCACTGTGTGTAAGTAACGTCCATGAAAAGTTGACCGTGAACCTGCTCTCCAGAATATTGATCCCTGAGACTGGATTTGGGGCTCACCTCTGAAGCTATCCTCAGCTTCTTAATATGTAGAGCAAGAACCCCCACCAACAGCACGTGGGCCTCCTCTTGTACTTGCTTAGAAGGGTGACAACCCAAGGACCCCCCCAGACTGAATTTCATGGATTCCATGTAGCCTATATTGAATTTAAATATCTGAAACATACCCCCTACAATTAGTAAACATTCATCCAAAAGTTTTTAATCAGGCATTATTGGAAGAACAGATATTTTATTTTCTTTACTTAGGGCATCTTTATAATCATAAAAGGATAATATAATAGAAATCTTTTGTATAACTTTATTACTTTTATAAGCAGAAAAAATAACTAGAATTTTAAATACATTTTGAAAATGTAATAATAGTGATTGATTGATACTATTAGCAAAAAGGAAAAAAAAACCCGAACAAGGGACACCCAGAACTTGAATCCTAAATCCATTTGGGACATGAAAAGGAAAAAGCTAGGAGACAGAAGGTCTTCTTCAGGAGGGAGTAATGCCGTATGATTTTAAAATAATTTTTTTCCAACTTTAAACTTTTAATTTTGTATTGGGGTATAGCCAGTTAACAGTGTTGTGGTAGTTTCAGGTAAACAGTGAAGGGACTCAGTCATACATGTACTAAAATAAGTTTTAAAATTCAGGTGAAGTCTTGTGGGAAATTAAGGTTTCTTCGTTTGGGGGAGAAAAGGGAACCTTTAGCACATGAAGATGCATCTCTATTCTGGGCGTGTTTAACCGGTCCTCACAGTATGATGGCAGGCTCATTAAACACACCCAGAACAGAGATCAGTGGCACAGATGGTAAAGACTGTGCCAGGTTCGATCCCTGGGTCGGGAAGATCTCCTGGAGAAGAGAATGGCAACTCACTCTAATATTCCTGCCTGGAGAATTCCATGGGCAGAGGAACCTGGTGAGCTACAGTCCATGGAGTCGCAAAGAGTAGGACTTGACTGACCACACTGGGAGTGAGCAGTGGAGAAGCAGGGATGTGAGTCTCCAGCAGGGGTCTGAGAAGGCCTAAAGGAAGGAGAGCAGGTCTCTGGGAGTCACTCTGGGCACATGTTTTAGCAGAGGCACAGGGCACCATTTTAATGAGCACATCAGCCAGATTCCTCTCTCTGACTGGATACACCAAGGTAGAACACAGGGCCTGTCCCATTATCTTCCTGGAACTCTGTTCAGACAATCTCGTTATTATCCAGGTCTCATCTCAGCAGAAAATGGTGTGGGATGACATGTGGAAAAATGTATTCCAGTTCTTTTCTGTAGGACCTTATTTTCAAAACATAATTCTAACTGGATGAAAAGCATTATAGAAAGCCATCTGTTTTCCTTCTGGCTGTGTCTTTCTTTTCTCTTTTTATTCCATTTACATGTGTGTTTGAAGCAGAGAGAAAAAGGAATAAGATGCTGCCCCTTTTCCATACTCAAATCCTGACCATGTAGAAATCCTGCCAGGCAAGTATGTGGGGACGCACCCTGGAAATGCTTTGATTGCCCTGCTCTCCAAACTCCATATGTGTGTGTGTGTGTGTGTTGCTCAGGCGTGTCCAACTCTGTGAGCCCATGGTCCATAACCCACCAGGCTGCTCTGTCCATGGGATTCTCCAGGCAAGAATATTGGAGTAGGTAGCCATTACCTTCTCCAAGGGATCTTCCTGACCAAGGGATCGAACCCAGGTCTCCTGCATTGCAGGCAGATTTTTTACCATTTGAGCCACCAGGGAAGCCCTTCCAGACTCCATCCTGTCCCTCAACTCAGAAACTCTTCCTGTTGATTTTAACATTTCAAGATTTAATCCTATCATCTCCCCTTCCCACCACAATCAAAACTTGACTTAGCAACAATATGCTGTAAATTGACTTTCAGTGACAAACGAAAGTGGCCAAGAGCAGGAATTGTAATGGTTAGTGATTATGCCTTCATCTGAGATGGGGCCTTTGCCTTCCCATAGTTCCTGTTTAAGACTGGAGACAAAGGTGCACAGAAGAGGGAGCCTGCCTTGCTCTGCCCCAGCTCCCCACAACCTCCCCGTCTCCTGGCTCTCAACCCGCTGTCCTTTCCTCTGCTTCAGCGCCTCTCCTGTCCTACATTCAGGGTCACTGACAGTGCTGTAGGGAGCTTCATTAATTATGAGAGTCTTGCTGTGTCAAAT